TCATTATAGGATTCTCTGTTTTGTACAGGTAATATTCAAAGTAGAACCGTTTCTGAATCGAATACTTTGCTACTGTTTACATCTTTGATCAACAAATTTCAGTATCGAATTCATGCTTGGCATTATCGGTAACATTGGCGTGATATTCTTCACATTTGGAAATCGAAAGCTACAAACAGTACAAGTAAGTTGACAGTTGTCGGACGTTCTGTCCTTACCAAATATGGTTTTTATTTCAGAATATGTTCATATTGAATTTGGCACTTGCCGATCTGATCGTCTGCATGTTCTCACTGCCTCTCACTCCAGTCACTAGTATTTATAAGAATTGGTATTTCGGCGAACACATGTGCCACTCACTTCCATGGATTCAGGTAATGAGAGCTTCTTCTTGAAATTTGTGCACTAAAAGGTTCCCCACTTCATTTTACAACTGAATAAAAAATAGAACCCAAGAACCATGAGAGGGTGTGGGGGTAGGGAAGAGCAACTGAAGCTCCAGGATAAACTAGTAATATATGAAGCCTATAAGGAGGAGAATGGCCTTGAACGAATACGGTAGGTAGTCTAGGGGTCGCAACTTCCGCACAAGTGGCCCTAACACAAATATGATCAGATGGAACTACGACAGAGTATCTTCGTTTGCTATGTACTGTAGATATTCGTAGATCAGCTTAATCCTCTGTTGTTCTCTAGGGCTCACATTCCTCTTGATCTGATAACACCACCAGTAGCCCACATGAAACGAAACTTATTCTACCAGGCTGGGACCTTTTTTCCACAGTTGGGTTCACACAGCCTCAGAAAAAGTCATACTTTGCCTTGTTTTCTTTTCAGGTCGTCCGACGCGAAAAAAGGGTATAAGCCACCTTGGGGCGGTATTCAATCCTTCCCCCAGGGGGATATATCCCCCTCCTCTGATTCAATCCTCTGGGGGGACAAAAAGGGTTGCGTCATAGGACCTAGCATACCTCTGTGTTTCTACCTGCCAGACAGTTAGAGCAGCGCGACCCCTCAGGGGAAAAGAGTGCTTCATCAGTGGAGGGTCGCGCTGCTCTAACTGTCTGGCAGGTAGAAACACAGAGGTATGACGGTCCTATGACGCAACCCATTTTGTCTCCCCAGAGGAAAAGGACGCACTCCCCGAGGAAGAATTCAATACGGCCTCCGAATTCACTGTGGAATGTGCCTCGAAAGTAAAGACTCGGCCCTCTCTTAAAGCGAGAGATTACGATAAAGTGCGTATGCAGCGTGGAAGTACATGCACCATTGGAAGCAGTAGTCAGGGGCCCAAGGGAACGAAATGTTGCGTTTTTGTGGTCAAAGGTGCGCTAGTTGCAGCGTACAAGGCTTGCCATTCCTTTCTGAGCCCCGCCACGGTCTGTGCTCCGCCCCCAGCAGCAGCCCTTCGATTGCCAATGTGACGAGATATTCCACTTCCAGAGTGTATCCTATAACTTTTCATGGGATGCGTGATCAATCAAAGCATGATGCTTGCTGAAATGATAGAGGCTATCAGCATAACATGTGCAAACGACCTCCTAATTGGTTGCTAGCTCGTCCATTATCGGAGGTCAACGGGCAAAGAAAGGGGTCCCATTTTGCGCCTTCTTGACGGATTTCTTTGCTTTTTTCGCCACTGGGGCATTATTCAGCATCTCCACTTCCACTATGAACCCAGTCCAAACTTATCGTAATCTACCCCTCGCATTTAGCCGTAAGGCGGTCACGCAAGAAGCATAAGTGATTGCCCGGATCTTCNNTNGAAAAATATTCAACAAAGCGCTTGATGTTCAAGACCTCTAATAATTTTTAATATTTATTTTATGTTCAGGGAGCCAGTGTGTTCGTGGCCACGTTCAGCCTTACCGCAATCGCCATTGATCGATACCTAATGGTTGTCACCCCACATCACAAGAGAATGACACAAACTGTAAGTTAGCCTCTTTTCGACTATACTGTAGCCCTTTCCATGAGATTCTACTGCAAAACATTTCAGCAAGCTCGATTCGTTATGGTCTGCTTGTGGATTATTTCTGCGCTCATTACACTACCGTACTCCTGGTTTATGACTTTAGAGGAGCATGAAGGCCTATGTGGGAAGTTCTGCACTGAGGCTTGGCCCAATGCCAGGTTACGACTGTAAGTTCTTGATTAATTACGCAATCCTTCCTATGACAGCTGCAAAAACATAGACCAAACTTGCAGCCTAGAAATAAACACTTATGGCTAGCACTAAAAAAGTGCGTGAGATCATGGAGATGAGCCAGGTTCCGTCTAGGAACAGGATTGGTCAGTGTGACCGTTCAAAAACCCTTGATTAGCTATTTGAGTGCACATATTGCTTGAAAACTTCTCATAAGCTCCTTCTCTCGAATTGCATGCGTGCAATTTGAATAAGCAAGGAAAAAGGATAAGTACATAATCAATAAGGACTAGTAAGCTCGGATTAAGACGATAAACTAGATATAGAATCCTCTAGTTAACAAGCCCGAGATCAACTTTTTAATAGGGAGCATGTGCTAGTGAAAGTGCTACGTGCTATGTGCAGGGAGCTTTCCACCTTCGCTGCTCGAAAACCGCGGTCAGAATGTTGCTGTTAGGGACTTGCAACCACCGGCAACTCACCGTGCGGCCCTCACTCATCGTGGTTGTTGTAAGAATAACGGCCACAATGGGGTGACGTAGCGGCTAATAGCACTTCAAGCTCATCGTTAAACATAATATTGAAAGATAGCATCTGGTGACCACCCATTATTTTAGAGAAGAGCGTCTGGTGCAGACCATCTCCCATAATGGACGACAGCCAAGAAAAATGATAAGAAAAAGTTACGTTTTCCTTTGCCGTCCTCACTTGTGGTGTGTGGTCTGCACTCGACGCTCTTCTCGTTTTTCGAAACAGAAGGGATGTTGAAAAGAAGAACTCGTCCAAACACGCCCCTCCCTATCCCAATGTGGAGTGCTGAAAAAGAGCAGTTCTTCGTTCAATTCGTAATATGCTGTTTCTTTTGCTTTGCTTTCCTCTTCAGATCACTCCTCACCACCCATATCATTATTGAGAGCTCTAATCCACTCACTCTTTCGCGGGAGTTGCCTCTGACCCTTTCGCGGCTGCTAGATCATGTTCTTTTCATAAGATAGGTAACGTTTGTGACCTATAAAATGCGTAAACAGTGCACATATGGTTTGTGGAGGTACGGCAAGCTACTTATGGAAAATCAACTGGTGGGAAACATCAACAGTTGAGTCAACATTACAGTGAATGCGCTTGAATAGAATTCCGCCTAGAACATCTAAGCTTCTGTATTTTTGTGAGTCAGGTTGAATGGTAGCAGGCTCAGTCAGAGGGACAACAACACTACCATGTACACTGGCTGCTCCCCGTATATATGTGTGGGTTGAAGGCGTTTCCGTACGCCTCTTAGCTTCTCGCCAGTTTAAATACGCAGCGCACTAGGAAAACACGTTATAACGGGCCTTTTTGATTGCTGCTCACTTGTCACCGAAAAGTAGTTTCTAACCCAATCGTTTGCGAAAAGCAGCCGGGATCTCATATAGATTGGACTCACTGCATCAGGCTTAACTTATGTATGTAGGTTTCCGTTAAGGTACATATGTGCGTTATTTGAAGGC